ACCAAATTGCTTCTCTCTGCCTTCCCTTACCCTCCATGGATGGGCTTTCATGCTCTGTTTCAACCCTAAAACTCCCACCCCTTCACCAAACACCTCGCGAATTCCATCATTACAGAGCATACACCCAACTCCCGCCTCCACACCCTCCTCTCCTTTCCCCCACCACCAAACCCAATATCTCCAATAAAACAACCTCATCCACTCTCAAACCCCTCACCCCATTCTCCTCCTCCTCCTCCTCCTCGCTAAGGTCATCTACGATCAACTCTTCTCCTCCGCAATTTCACCGAAAACCAGCGACTGGGTATGCAGCAGCTCTTCTAGACATAGCACAATGCAAGAGTTCTCTCCATGCAGTGCAGAAGGATGTACGAAAGCTGTCAAAGGTAATCTATAACGAAGGAATTCGAGCTTGGATGAACGACCCTCTTGTAGGTGAGAATGAGAAAGGGGATTTGGTGAAGGAAGTGGCGAGAAGATGGAAGCTTGACAAGTACTTGGTGAGATTGGTGAAGATGTTGGTTGAGAAAAACAAGTTGGGAATGGTAGGTGAAGTTTTAGAGGAGTTTCAGAAGATTTATGATGAATTGAGTCTCAGCTCCGAAGATGGAAGAATTTCTGTTTAGAAGTATGTAATTTCTTTCAACAGCATAAATAAGAAAAGAAGATCTCTGTAATCAATAATTCGTAACAGATAAATGAAGGGATTTTCACTTTTCTCATTGGAATAAAAAGAAACTTCGGTATAAATTGCAGTCCACCCATGTATGCATGCAATGTTATCCCCTAGGGTTTGAGGTGTTGTCATCCTCAAGGCTAATGGTTAAGGTGTGCAACGATTACAAGGCAATATATTTTCAAAAGGATCATTTTTGCCCTTCTAACCCAAAACTTTTTGTTGCTCCCTCTTTTCCCTAGTCGTTCCAATGAGTGCTCTCAGCCTCTTACTTGGTTAAATATTATAGGATGTTAATTTATCACTATAGCATCAATTGCTACTTTAAATGCTCATTGACAATTTTCTAAGAACAACAATGGTACGCAAGAGCAATAATTGGTCTTCTCTCCACAGCACCAACCAGTGTTTTCATTAGTGGAAAGGAGCAAGCGAGACAACAAAATCCTAGAGTGACAAGGGCATTATGATATTTTCATTGATTATATAGGTGGATGTTACATCTAAAATAATATAACAAACTACATGGATTTGTAGCAAATTTTTAACACTACTAAGGAGAATTGTAAATGATATTATTGTTACACTTATAGTGTTAAATTTTTTTTTTTATTTTGCAATGCAAATTAAAAAATAGGGTGAATCTCATGGGTGGTCACCCAACTTTATTAAAATCAACGTTTTGGTCACTCAACTTCTAACCCTAACAAAATGGTCACCTAACTTCTTTTGTTGTCCAAGCAATAGTCACTCACAGTTAATATTAACGGAAAATGTTAAATGAGTCATTAAACCTTAGTCAATTTCTCGAACAATGTCAATAATATCACAAGTAGAGCCAAAGAAAAGAAAATACAAACCAGTGGACTTTCATTAAGTTTTTTTTTCTTCTCATTTTTTATTTTGATGGATTGCTCACAATATAAACTCTAGAATTGAAGTACTTGTATGAGAAATTTTATTTTTATTTTTTTATGAATATTAGTGTTTACTTCAAAAACATTTGAATTATGGATATAGATATTGTCTAAATTGATTATATAATAATTAATATCATTTATTTTTTTGGTGGTTAATGTCCAAATCCTATCAATTTTTTTAGCTTTTGGTTGCTATTAATTTTTTCTTTGTATAATTAGTTTAGCACATGAAAAGGGATTTCATTTTAATTAGTGAAATGCTTAAAATTTTATAGTACCATAAGAAATTTGATTTAAATCAATATCAATATAACAAAATTATTTACTATGATTAAGGTGACTGAAGGTTGTCTTAGTGTTTGACTAAGGAAAAAAAATGTGGTTGGCAAATTAGAGAGAACAAGGAATAAATTCTAGGGCTTCAAAATGGCTGTTATTGAGAGTAAAAAAAATTAGCCAAAATTTTAGGAATTTAAATTACAATTTTCACGTTTTTAGTGCCAATGAGTGCCACATCATGTTGGTAATGCTACATCAAATCCAAAGTGGCATTTAACCTAGCCACAATTTAACATTTTTTATTAATATTAACTGTAGGTGACTAACGCTTGGATAATTTAAGAAGTTAGGTGACCATTTTGTTAGGGTTAGAAGTTGAGTGACCAAAACGTTGATTTTAATAAAGTTGGGTGACCACCCATGAGATTCACCCTAAAAAATATCTTTAATATCAAATAATCTGTCATTTATATAATAGTTTAAGTTATGTATTATTTTTTTTTAATATTGATGTCACACTAAGTATCTTTTTTTTTCCTTTGCATATATTCATTTGAATAAATGAAAAGTTATTGGGAATGATGTATTTAGAGACTCATTAATTAAAGTCAAAAAAAAAAAAAAAAACCCTTGCGATGAATGTTAAGTTGTTGTTGAAACGATGTCGTTTTAATCAGGTTTGCAGTTCCACTCTTCTTGAGCGGCTCACCGTAATTCAGTGCGCCGATTCTCTCAACCGTGATTATGCGTCGCTTCCAACTTCTCCGCCCAATCACCACTGCCCGTCCCTTCTCTACCGTCGACCTCTCCACCGTTGATTCCTCTTCTCCGCTCCTTCAATACTATACCGTCACGCCGCCGATCAAACCATGGCCGGAACGCCTCTATCCGAGACGCCTCGTCTCCATGATCACCCGCCAGCAAAATCTCGATCTTGCCATCCAAATCTCCCTCTACGCCGGGAAATACCACCCCGGGTTTTCCCATAATTGCTACACCTATTTCTCAATCATCGAGAAGCTCTCCCGCGCTCGTGCCTTTGAGCCCGTGGAATCTCTCCTCTCTCAGCTCCGAGATTCCCAAATCAAATGCGGCGAAAATATTTTCCTCACGCTAATTCGAAATTACGCCCTCGCTGGCCGCCCAAACTTAGCAGTCAAAACCTTTCTGCGCATTGGCGAATTCGGGGTTCAGCACTCTGTGAAATCCTTGAACACGCTATTGAATGGCTTGATTCAGAACAAACGGTACGATTTGGTGCATTTTATGTTTAAGAATAGCAAAACCAAGTTTAACATTGTACCGAATGTGTGTACTTGTAATATTTTGATCAAAGCTCTTTGCAAGAGAAACGACATTGAGAATGCAAGAAAGGTGTTAGATGAAATGCCTGTAATGGGGATGGTGCCTAATTTGGTTACTTATACCACGATTCTTGGTGGTTATGTTGCCAGGGGTGACATGGGAAGTGCGAAGAAGGTTTTTAGTGAGATTTTGGATAGAGGGTGGGTGCCTGATGCTACAACTTATACAGTTTTGATGAATGGATATTGTAGATTAGGGAGGTTGGTTGATGCTGTAAAGGTGATGGATGATATGGAGGAAAATGGTGTTGAACCTAATGAAGTTACTTATGGGGTTATGATCGAAGCATTTTGTAAGGAGAAGAAATCTGGTGAAGCAGGAAACATGCTTGATGATATGCTTGAGAGAAAATACATGCCAAGTCCTGCACTTTGTTGTAAGGTGATGGATGTGTTATGTGAGGAGGGAAAGGTAGAGGATGCCTGTGAGTTGTGGAGGAGGTTGCTGAAGAATAATTGCATTCTAGATAATGCTATATTAAGTACTCTTATCCATTGGCTTTGTAAGAAGGGGAATTTTTTGGAGGCAAGGAAGTTGGTTGACGAGTTTGACAAGGGTTCTGTTCCTAGTCTATTAACATATAACACACTAATTGCTGGAATGTGTGAGAGAGGGGAGTTAGGTGAGGCAGGGAAGCTATGGGATGATATGGTGGAGAAGCGTTGTCGTCCTAATGCATTCACATACAGTATATTGATTAAAGGATTTTGCAAGATTGGCAGTGCGGTAGAGGGGGTTAGGATTTTGGAGGAAATGTTAGCTAAAGGATGCCTTCCCAACAAGACTACTTACACCGAATTAATACAGGGCCTCCAAAGGTTGGGGAAGGAAGTAGAAGTGGAAAAAGTTGTTTCATTGGCCATGTCAAGCGGGGGAATAGATAGGGACTTTTGGGATATTTTCATAAAAGAGGTTGTTGATAAGCTGGATAGCGGGAAGGATGTTCTTGATAGATTATTGTCGGAGAATACTGGCTAAAGAACCATCTGTAGTAAGAGTTAATCATGAATCTCAGTTGCACCTGAAGTAATATGATGGTTAACTCTAATAGTGTGGTGAAAATTTCCATGGCTGCCCACCGTAGAGCTTGTGAAAGTGATATGGATCCATAGCACAAGTTGGTTTTGGCTCCAAAGAAGCTGCCAAGTCATACATCATGAGGAAGTTGGAGAACATGGGAAACAAGTTGTGTGGCTTCTCTTATCTAGTTCTCCCAATCCAATATAGCAACCTACATGGTAAAATGTTAAAAGAGAAATATTTATAACAGTGTGAAAGAGTGATAATGGTGATTCATATGACATACGTTCACAGTGGCGATGCATAGATTTGAAAGGAAGAAGGAACAACAAGTATTTGTTCTCTATTGTTTTGACTCTGAAGTATTGCCAACTTGAAAAATCACGTTCAACCAGAGGAACTGACAGCTGTGGTCTTTGTCGGACAAAGTCATTTGAGGAAATTTCACCTCTGTGTAAGTGTTGTTAGGGTTTTGGACTAAGTTGAAGACATTGTTGAATTTGTTTCAATGTTTTGTTGCCAAACCTCTTTCCTACCATGATGCAGACAGAAGAGTTGACTGATGATTAATCCAAGTCTTGATTCTAATTTGTATTTATTAACATTTAAAAATTTCCAAAATTTGACCAGTATTTCCCTTCTCATGTTTGCTTCTCACTCTGATTAGCCCTCGCTCATTGCTACCTAACGTCTGCACAAAATAACTGCACAGACTACCATTAATTTGCTTGACTGGACCACTCACCTTCCAAGCTTGTAGTTTAGTTTGATGGGTTCAATATTATTACCCCTGCTTTGTGTTCCATAGAAAACCTATTTTCCTCCTCTTCTTTTTTTTTTTCCATTTTCTTTTGGGAGAAAAATGATCTGTATTGTGTTGATATTGATAAGAAAGTAAAGACAGTAGCATTTATCTACGTGGTTGCAGTGGTGGTTACATTTTTTTCAAAATGAAAAGTAAATGGAATGCGTTTTAAATTCAAAGTTAAATTTCAAATTAAATTTTTTTTGAACAAATATTAATTTAACATTGTAATTTTTCATGTTAAAAAAAATAAATAAATAAAGATAGTACAACTTGACAGGCACTGTAATAAATTTTTTTTTTTGGGTAAAAAGCTCTGTAATAGTTTACAATTCACATTTGTTGATTTTTAGACGAGATATTTGTATTTTGCAGTGGCGTACCGTATTGCAATTTTCCTGACCACAGATTTTCCAAGCTTCCGATTCTGATTGTTTGCCATCAACTCCACTGTCACAAGGTCCGCATTCCTTCCTCTGATTTTCTAACTCATTTTTCCAACCGATTGAATAGTCAATAATCAATTGTGGAATGGTAAGGAAGTACAACTGGTTTTGGACAATTTAACTAATATTTTCCCCCACGATTTCTATGATTAGAAGCACATGCATTGGGGCGGCTAATATGAAACACGAAGACTTATTTCTCTTTCGACATTATTTGTTTCTTTTCGGGCTACGTTCTATTAACAGTCAGTCCTCTCCATGCAAATTTTAATCTTCTTGAGTTCAAGTTGTAAATTAATATTTTAAGAGACTTAAAATCCATTTTAAAGTATTTACAATAAATTTTCATTGTAAAAAAAAAAATCACAATCACTTTCAAATTGTATTTGAAAAAGAGATATATGATAATTAGCAATTTATTAACCTCAAAAAAGAAAGAAAGAAAAAAAAAGGGGTTTATCTATCACAAAAGCAATACCCATGTGATTGTTTAGGCTCTCCAAACTCCCTGTATTTTAAGAAGGGTTTCAAAAATGTCTGCGCTTTCTTTCCTTACTAATCTTCCACTTTCTTTTTTATTGTCCGAATTTCAGACAGAACATGGTAAAAAATAGAAAGGAAGATAAAGAAAAGAAAAGAGTGCGCGTTTTGCTTTGGTGTGTGACCTGATCCAGGTCAAAGCAAAAATCCTTTGAACAAAAGAGCGTTAAGACTAAAAACAGACAGGCAAGCATACAGAGCGAGGGTCTTCTTTCACTTGGGACAAGTTAAGAGGGGATAAAATACTCCCATTCTCACAACTGAAAAAGAAGGCAACTTTATTCATAGAAATAAAGAAAGATAGCTGCTTTGACCCTTAATTACTACACCTTTCTTCTTCTTTTTCTTCTTCTTCCTTACTGATTTTGAGGGATCTATCTCTATCCTATTCCTGTTCGGCTTCTGTACTCTTCTCCCAGGAACAAGATCTCCGTCATTCTTGGGAAAGCTCCAACCAGAGGCTTTCTTGAGGTCAACAGCATCAGGGTCTGGTGAATTGTCAAGGGAAGCAACTCATTTTTCAGGTTTTTGCTTTTGTCACTCTCTCATAGATTGTTCAAAGTGTAGATTTTGGTATGATTACAATTGTTCCAGGCGGTTGACCATGTGGGTCGTCCCTTGGGCTTCCAGCTTGGTTGTTGTAGACAACTCTAGGATGGGTTTTTGGATTGCTTTTGTAGCTTCAATTTGAAGAAAGAAGCTCAAAGTTGAGCCTTTTGAAAGTCTTGTTTTTGGCCGAATTTGGAAACAATTGGGCAAGTTCTGTTCTGTTGCCTTGAAAATGTAGAAAAAACAAAGGGAACTGTAACTGAATTGTAGTTTATTGTTGTCTTCAGAAACAAGGTTGGGTTAAGCTTTGTGTTTTGGGGAAATTGAGAGGAAATAGATTTGTTCCTTGTTTTGGTTAAAAAGAAGTGTAGATAAAAAAAAAGCATTTTATGTGTTAGTAGATGCCTTATTTCTTCTGAGTTTGTTTGTGTAGTGGGCAAAAAATTTTGAGCAAATTGCACTGACTGGATTGCTGTAAATTTTATTTTGATATTAGGTCGTTTATGCAATAAAATTGGAGGTGCTACTTTTGGGTGGAAATCTTCAATTGTCGCCTGTGTTGGCTTCTTTGCTGTTCTAAGTTGGGATTATGATCACATTGGAGAAGAGGGCTTTGCTTCCTGGCGCTCCTTGAATTGTGATGTGATGGCAATAGACATAGTCTCCAGCGCCTCGGCTGTTCCAGCTTCGGAACTACTTTCTCAGACTATAGAGGGTATTCTTGAGATCATAGTTTCTGCAAACAATGTTCTTTTCAAGAAGGAGAGTTTCAGTCAACTTGCAGCTTATTTGGACAGGATTGTCCCAGTTTTAAAGGAGCTAAGGAGAAAGGGAGCCAGTAATTCTGAGAGCTTAAACAATGCTATTGAGGCTCTCAATCGAGAAATAAAAGCTGCTAAGCAACTGACTTTGGAATGCACCAAGAGAAACAAAGTATATCTCTTGATGAATTGTCGTGCCATAGATAAGCACCTCGAGGATGCCACCAGAGAGATAAGCCGGGCTCTTAGTCTTTTTCCATTAACCTCGTTGGATCTTTCTTCTAGTATAATTGAGGAGATTGGAGAAGTCCAAGACAGCATGCAGAGGGCTGAGTTCAGGGCAGCTATAGCAGAAGAGCAGATAATGGATAAAATTGAGTCTGGAATACAGGAGAGAAATGTTGATCGCTCTTATGCAAATAATTTGCTGGTTCTCATTGCAGAAGCTGTTGGAATACCTAATGAGAGGTCAGCTTTGAAAAAGGAATTTGAAGATTTCAAAAGTGAGATTGAAAATGCGAGGCTGAGGAAGGACATGGCTGAAGCAATACAAATGGATCAGATAATTTCTTTGTTAGAAAGAGCTGATGCTGCTTCATCTCCTAAGGAGAGAGAGATCAAGTATTTCACCAAGCGGAATTCCTTAGGTAGTCAACCACTGGAGCCTCTCCAATCATTTTATTGCCCAATCACTAGGGATGTAATGATGGATCCTGTGGAGACTTCTTCAGGACAAACATTTGAGAGAAGTGCAATTGAAAAGTGGTTTGCAGAGGGAAACAACCTCTGTCCTCTGACCATGACCCCTCTAGATACCTCAGTCCTACGGCCTAATAAAAAATTGAGACAATCAATAGAAGAATGGAGGGACCGGAATACCATGATAACAATTGCTTCCATGAAAGAAAAACTCATGTCTGGAGAAGAGGAAGAAGAAGAAGAGGTGCTTCATTGTCTTGAGCAGCTAATGGAACTCTGTAAACAAAGAGACGCGCACCGAGAATGGGTGGTATTGGAGAACTACATACCAATTCTTATTCAACTTCTTGCTTCCAGAAATCGTGACCTAAGGAATCAAGTGCTTGCCATCCTTCACTATTTGTCAAAAGATAGTGATGATGCTAAGGTACTATAACTGAAACTGGATATTTTGATTCTAGATAATGGAATTATGTGGATTTTCATCATTATGATTAGAGATGTTCAGGAATCAGTTTCACCCATGGAAGATAGAGAATGCACATACCTGGATGTTATTTTTCTATTGCTTCATCATCATGAATAGTTTAGTTTTACTTTCATTCTGCTGACTTGATATATATATATATATAATGGGAATAGTGTCTATCCACCTTGCCTCCTAAAGATTAGGAGGACAATTATCCGAAAACTAAGCCATTTCAATAAACTCTCATTGAAAAAGAATAAAATACCATATTTTTAAAGCATGAATTAGAGTGGCTTGTGTCCTTTCTCGTGGTGCTTCATTAAAATGACATAGTTTTAGAGTAATTTTCCTCCTAATCTTTAGGAGGTAGGTGGATAAACACTAATCCCTATATGTATATATATGCACCTGCATTCTGTCCCTAACTGTTCGATTAAGAGATACAATTCAGATACTAAATGATAAACTATTTATGTATCTTTCCTGAGATCATATTAATCTCTATATCCCTCATTTGGACAAACCTAATTTCTCCACTTTGGTCTAGAATCAAGTTCCTAGCATAAACATTGATTCTAGTGAACTAGAAATTCAGATAATCTCATCTCCTCCTGACTCATCTCCCCCCGACTCATCTCCCCCTAACTCCAAATCAAAATGATGCAGGAAAGAGTTGCAAAAGTTGACAATGCAATTGATTCTATTGTTCGATCTCTGGGGCGCCGTGTTGAAGAAAGGAGGCTAGCTGTGACATTGCTATTGGAACTATCAAAATGTGATTTGCTACGAGATTGCATTGGGAAAGTTCAGGGTTGCATCCTTCTCTTGGTGACAATGTCGAGTGGTGATGACAATCAATCTGCCAGAGATGCAGAGGAGCTATTGGAAATTCTTTCATTCTCTGATCTTAACATTATACAAATGGCAAGGGCAAATTATTTTAAACATTTGCTTCAGCGTCTCTTTGAAGGTTTAATGCCTTAACAGATTACCTTTTGCTTCTTAACTTTGTATCAGTTTTATATGCAGGTGACTTAAGATACCTAGTTATTGAAAAGCTATGGAAATTAGTTTTGAAAATAATATCATAGCTAATCTGGCATATACTTGAAGAGAAAAGGAGATTGCATTTAGAGATAATAGTGGGTTTATCTATCAAAGTTAGCTAATTCTGGTGTTTCAACTGTGTAGTGTCAACTTGAACTCTAATAGAAATGTTTGTCAAGATGGGTCTGTTGATGCTAACATCCATGTATAATCTCAAAACCAGGATAGGATTTCTTTTGTAAAGCTGATAAGATCTGGATTTCATTCCTGTTCCATTTTCTCGGTGGTAGTATCCAATGATAAGGTGATACCATTATTACTGCAGTTCTTAATGTGTTTTTCCTGCATCAGTTCCTTGTATCTATGTTGTGTCCATTTTGAGGCGGACTTCAGCTTTTGCATTGTGCCATTAGAATTGTGTACCAAATAGTAATCCATCAACCGTTTTTGCATCATTTTGAAGTAACATCCTAATTTTTTGGGTTTTCTGCAGGGTCAGAAGATATAAAAATGACAATGGCAACAACTTTGTCAGATATGGAGTTGACTGACCACAATAAGGTGGTTCTTCTTGAAGGAGGGGTATTGGCCCCACTTCTCCACTTAGTCTCACATGGTGATATTGAGATGAAAACAGTTGCTGTTAGAGCTCTTCGAAATCTCTCAAGTGTACCAAGAAATGGCTTGCAGATGATTAGAGAAGGTGTGGTAGAACCCCTACTTGACCTTCTCCTCCGTCACAGTTCATCATCAAGCTTGAGAGGACAGGTAGCAGCCACAATTATGCATCTTGCATTATCCACTGCGTCACAAGACTGCAGTGAGACACCAATCACTTTGTTGGAACCAGAAGAGGATATTTTCAGGCTGTTCTCTTTGATTACCCTGACTGGACCAGAAATCCAACAAAGCATTCTCCAGATCTTTCTAGCCTTGTGCCAATCCCCTTCTGCAGCAGATATCAAGACGAAGCTAACACAGGTATGTTTCTTTCTGGCTGGACATTGATGTCTAAATTCATTGTGAAGTTTGCATCATCTATCTTGGAAATCCAAATAGCTTTTGCAGATCTTGTTGTATCAACAGTAACTTATTTGTGACATTAACAGTGCTCAGCTATACAAGTACTAGTTCAGTTATGTGAGCATAATGACAAAAAGATACGGTCAAATGCTGTGAAGTTGCTCTGTTGCTTGGTGAAGGATGGTGACGAAGCCACTATCCTAGAGCTTGTGGGTCAGAAATGGCTTGAAACTCTATTGAGAATCATCCAAACTTCTGATGATGAAGAAGAGACCACTTCTGCTTTGGGCATTATTTCTGACCTTCCTGAAAACCCTCCGATCACTGAGTGGCTACTGGGTGCTGGTGGGATTCCGATAATAGTCAGTTTTCTTCAGAGAGGCAGGCATAATGATTCCCACAAAGTGCCGTTATTAGAAAATGCTGTTGGGGCTATATGTCGTTTCACTGATCCAATAAATTTGGAATGGCAAAAGAGAGCAGCTGAAGCTGATATTATCCCAGTACTGGTTCACTTGCTGGATTATGGTACTGCCTTGACCAAAAAGTATGCAGCCATCTCTCTTTGTCGTTTTTCACAGAGTTCACCAAGGCTGAGCCATTCAGGACCAAAGCGGAAAGGGTTCTGGTGCTTATCAGCTCCACCAGAAACTAGCTGCCCGGTTCATGGTGGAATCTGCTCTATTGAATCATCATTTTGCCTTGTGGAGGCTGATGCAGTAAGACCCCTTGTAAGGGCTCTTGGAGAATCAGATCCTCAAGCGTGTGAGGCTTCTTTAGATGCACTTTTGACTTTAATTGAAGGTGAAAGACTGCAAAGTGGTAGTAAGGTACTTGCAGAAGCAAATGCCATACAGCCAATGATAAAGTTCCTTGGTTCACCCTCCCTCATGCTCCAGGAAAAGAGTCTAAGTGCTTTAGAAAGGATTTTCCGGCTGCCAGAGTACAAACAGAAGTATGGACCCTCTGCTCAAATGCCTCTGGTGGATTTGACACAACGAGGCAACAGTAGCATGAAATCTCTTTCGGCAAGAATACTTGCTCACTTGAATGTTCTTCATGATCAGTCTTCATATTTCTGAGAATTCAATGAATTTCTATCCTCTTGTGCATATGAAATTCACTTTTGCTAAGTGCTAACTATGCATAGAACTAGCGCTGGAGGGAGGGATTTTACTATTAGAACTGGCTCATATTATAAGTGCCACAGCATTTGTTATGTCTGTACAGTCTAGCTCAAGCCATACTGATGATCATTTTTATATTTTTTAAGAATTAAATTCTTTTCTTTTCCCATTTTTGCTTTTCTTTGCCAAGTTCTTCCTTTTGTCATGGATTCTATTGTAAACTGGAGTTTCCACTTGCTCCTATAATGCAAAAGCCAAAAGCACAATAAAATCATGTTTATTTTGAAGTCTTTGTTAAACGTAAAGTAATCACTTTTGTTATGAACCATTTGAAACAAATCCTCTCCCAAAGCCTGAGACTAGGCTTAAACCACCAAACCAAGAGTCTCATAGTGGGATTCCTCCAAATCCCCAACATCCCTTATGCCCAGAACCTGTTCGACCTTATTCCAACTCCAACTGTCTTCCTCTATAACAAGCTCATCCAAGCGTACGCCTCTCAAAACCAACCCTACAAATGTCTCTCCCTCTACTCGAGGATGTGTCTCCAGAACTGCCAGCCGAACGAACTCTCTTTCACTTTCCTCTTCCCTGCGTGTGCCTTGCTTCCCTCCCCTCTCCATGGCCAAATTATCCACGCTAGCTTAGTCAAATCCGGTTTCGAGGCCGATTGCTTTGCCTCGACTGCTTTGCTTGACATGTATGCAAAGTTGCGTATGTTGGAATGGGCTCGCCGAGTATTTGATGAAATGTCTGTGAGAAACTTACCCACTTGGAATGCGATGCTTTCGGGTTATTCTAGGAGTGGGGATATGAAGGGGTCTTTGGAATTGTTTGAGTCGATGCAGGAGAGGAACGTGGTTTCTTGGACTGCAATGATATCTGGGTATTCACAGAATGGGCAGTATAGGGAAGCCTTAGATATGTTTTTGAGGATGGAGAAGGAGAAAGGAGTGAAGCCTAATGAAGTGACCATTGCCAGTGTGCTTCCAGCCTGTGCAAACCTTGGAGCTCTAGAGGTTGGAGAGAGGATTGAAGGGTATGCAAGAGCAAATGGGTTACTTCAGAATTTGTACGTGAGCAACTGCGTGCTAGAAATGTATGCAAGGTGTGGTAAAATTGAGGTAGCAAGGCGGGTGTTTGATAACATGGGCAAGAGGAGAAACTTGTGCTCTTGGAATTCAATGATCACGGGCCTTGCTGTTCATGGAAAATGTAATGATGCTCTTGAGCTTTATGACAAAATGCTGGTGAGCAGTCCTTTCTATAGTTCCTTGACCTTCACCTTGGACTTTTTTGGTTTACCCTTTGTTTCATTGCTGATGACAGCAGGAAGAAGGAACTGCACCAGATGATGTCACATTTGTGGGACTTCTCTTAGCCTGCACGCATGGAGGGATGGTGGAAAGAGGCCAGGAACTTTTCGAATCAATGGAGAAAGAGTATGGCATTGCTCCCAAGTTGGAGCATTATGGCTGCATGATTGATCTCCTGGGCCGTGCAGGAAGATTGCAAGAAGCTTATGATTTCATCAAAACTATGCCAATGAAACCAGATTCTGCAGTATGGGGAGCTCTTCTTGGAGCTTGCAGCTTCCACAATAATGTTGAGCTGGCTGAAAAAGCGGCAGAATTTCTCTTTCAGCTCGAACCATGGAATCCAGGAAACTTTGTTATTCTTTCCAACATATATGCATCTGCAGGCCGATGGGATGGGGTTGCAAGGCTAAGGATGGTGATGAAGGGTTGTCAGATTACAAAGGCTGCAGGATATAGTCTCATTGAAGAGGGAGGTGAGATGCATAAGTTTATTGTGGAGGATAAATCACATCCTAGATGTGATGAAATATATGCAGTTCTGGATCAAGTATTAACCATGATGAAGGTGAAAGATTTATCAACTGACTTTGAATCTGAACTTGATGAGTTGAGGATAATGGAGCTAAGCTCATAACTTATCATTATGTGTGAAATTTGTTCTCAAAATTTTTCTTTCTATTAAATTCTTTCAGTGTAATGTACCGATTCGAACCATACTAAACATCCTAATACAGAAAAAAGAGAAGCAAAAATCTGGATATTTCTTCTGATCAGCCAGTATTGCCGCTGGAAATTCTTTTGATTCAACTTTAGACGGAATTATGCTGTCTTTTCTTTCCTTTTTCTGTGTCTCGTGCTCCTTGCTACAAATTTGAGAATCTCGTCAATAAGAATCACAGGTGAAGAGACCAGGATGACTAAAAGCCACTCATTCAGGCTCAACGGAACGATGCCAAAAACATCTGCAAGGAATGGGACATAGAGTATGAGGCAGTGGAGTCCCAATGAGACTGATACGGCAACCAGAAGCCAAGGATTCCTCCAAGGCGGCATTGTAACCAGGCTATTGTCTTCGGAAAGTGCATTCAGGGAGTTGAACATCTCAATTGCTACCAAGACAGAGAGGGACAGAGTCATTGCCTTCACCTTGCCAGTGATGAAGTAGTCACAAGGATTTGAGAAGCTGATCTGGCGAGTCCCCCTAACTGTGTATGGAGCCACAGTGAAGTTTGACCATGTCGAGCACTCCCTCCAGTTGCGAAGCTGAGATAATTCAACCAACGTATGGCCGTCGCTAACAAGATTGATGCCCATGAAGGAACTTTGGGTGTACCACAAGATAAAGATGCCAACGGTAGCAATCCCCACATAGAAACCAACAACCTGCAATTGCAGAAATGTAATTGCCCCGCATTGGACTATAATATGTAAAACCAAAATCACAATTATCAATTATGGATAATGACTAATTCCCATTAGGACGTCATAGAGAGCATGATGAGTGCTAATCAATACTAACCAAGTAACGGAAGAGAACCCAGAAATTAATGAGAGCATCATCACTTTTGCGGGGTGGTTTCCACATTATATCAACATCAGCAGGGTTAAATCCAAGTGCTGTGGCAGGTGGACCATCCGTAACCAGATTCACCCATAAAAGCTGCACAGGTATCAGGCATTCCGGTATCCCCAGAGCAGCAGTCAAGAATATGGATATGACCTCTCCAACATTGGATGATATCATGTATCTGCAAATTAAGGAAATGAACAAAGCATTTCTCCATAGTACCGATAAAAGCTAAAGAGCTAAGAGACTTAACATACCTGATAAAAGCTTTCATGTTATTATAAATTGAGCGGCCCTCAGCAACAGCAGATACAATAGTACTGAAATTGTCATCAGCCAGAACCATGTCTGAAGCTTCTTTTGCTACCTGGAATATCAAGTGATGGGCAATTGAGTTTGAAATGGAACAAGATTTCAATAGCTCTAGGAAGCCTTAGGCAGCAGTGATTTAACATTCAATGCTAAAGCTTGGTTCTAAGCTTTAAGCAAAAGCACATGCAGATTATAGTTGTAAATAGTAAAAGAATCAATGGATGATATTTTACCTCAGTTCCTGTTATGCCCATGGCTATTCCAATGTCAGCAAGTTTCAGTGCGGGTGCATCATTCACACCATCTCCAGTCATTGCAACAATTTCTCCCATATCCTTTAGCATTCTAACTATATCTTGCTTATGCTTAGGCTCAGCACGAGAGAAAACCATCCCACCATGTCTTGACAAAGTTTCAATTTGTTGTGAAGTGGGAAGAGCCATGAACTCTTTACCTGTAAAACTTCTCCCAGCAAGATCATCTGTTGCAGAAAACAATTTAATTTCACGACAGATAGCCTCAGCTGTAGATTTATTGTCTCCAGTTATCACCATAACTTTAATCCCCGCAACTCTACAATCCTCAATTGCTTTATGAACTTCATCACGTGGAGGATCCTGTTAGACAAGCTTAGCACATAAAATCTCTGAAATCATGGATTTGACACTTTACAAACTAGTGAAATATAAAACTGCCTGCCTATGCTCACCCTGATTCCGACAACCCCTACAAAGACCAAGTTACTTTCAATGGAAGAGTAGCTGGTTGGATCAAGCAACTTCTTATGGGCAGGATGACTGTCAGAATAGTAGTTTGAAAACTCTCCCAAGTCATCCTTATAAGCCAATCCTAAGCATCTCAATCCTTTTGAACTCATCTCCTGGACCCTGGAAACTAATAGATGCCTACAAGGTTCATCTATTGGTACAAGAGACCCATCTGCCAGTTGGACATAAGAGCTGCGCTCCAATAGACTCTCAACAGCACCCTACAAATACATGATAAGTCACCAGAAACATGTTATGGTTCAGAATAAGCAGGATTAACATGGCTGTATGGTCAAGTGCAAAGATACCATAGCCTTTATTAGCACTCAAAGTTTTTTTTTTTTTTATTATTATTATCTTTCTCAAACACAAGTAAATGTCCTGGTTATTTTCTTAAGAAATTTTCATCCATTGAAAACTATCATGCAAAACACAAGTAAATCTGTTCTATATATGTACATATATACCATTTCATACCATTCAAGCTTTGAGATTCAACATATTGCAGGGTCAAGTCCAAAACAAAAAACCAACTTGGGTCACATATCAAAGATTTAAATCACCCCCCTCCCCTTTCACCCTCTTCCCTCTTTGCCTTGCCAAACCACAATATCTGCACACTTATTTTGACCATTTAAACATCAGCAGAGACAGACTAAATTGCAAACATTCAGAAAATTTAGTAAAGTTATAATCAATAAAGCCATAACAATACTCAAAACAAAGCAACAGATACCTTGACAAGAAGCCGATTCTGCCCTGTGGGCTCTCGGACTATAACACCCATTGACTTCCGGATGCGATCAAACTCCAACGTAGCAACCCTTTTGGATCTTTTAGTCCACCAGTCACAGCAGCCTATACCCAGGAAACAATACATAAATCAAAGGATGAAAAATAATCACCCGACATATGGCATAAATTCTAGAATAGGGGGAAAGTTTTTTTTTTTTTTTTTTGATAAAAAGAATAGGAGACAGTTTTAACTCACTTAATTTAACTGTGCTCTGGTCAATCATATAGTTTGCAGCAAGCTGCTTGTCACGGACCTTATTCCTCATCTTGGTATCTGGAATCCCCATTTTCTCAACCAAAACCTTCAGAGCTGCTTCTGTGGGCAAACCTGTAGCTCGGAAAAGGCGACCATCACAGAAAATGCCAGCATCATTGCAAACTGCACATCCTTCAGCCAAGGCTTGTAGGTTAGCATCCATGTTATAGCAATTCCAATCCACAATTCCACCATCCTTTGGATCATAAGTTGTTCCTTCAACATGGAAAATACGACAAGAAGTGGTTTTCCCACCCAGTGTAAAGAATTGCGCCACAGACATCTGATTCGTGGTCAGAGTCCCAGTTTTATCCGAACATATCACAGTTGTGCATCCTAATGTCTCAACACTAGGAAGCTTCCGTACAATTGCATTTTTTTGTGCCATTTTCCTTGTGCCAAGTGCTAAACAAGTTGTAATCACAGCTGGAAGGCCTTCTGGAATTGCAGCTACTGCAAGGGCAACGGCTATCTTCAAATAGTAGGTACATTTCTCAAAAGAGAAACGAACATGTGAAGGCCATCCATCTACAACATCCCAGGAGAGGAAGTTTTTATAGTTGATGAGCCACACAACGAGACAAACAAGTCCAATGGCAGTTGTAAGCTTGCTTCCAAATTCATCCAGCTTCTTCTTCAAGGGAGTATCATCCTCTTCCAAAGATGCCTCATGTATCTGTCTCTGTATTTTCCCAATCTCAGTGTTCATCCCAGTGTTCACTACAACACAGACACAGCTACCGTTCACAACTGTTGTGCCTGCAAAAACCATATTTTCTTTTGCCTGCAATTCACAGTCATCCATGAATACAGGATTGGTGCCTTTCAGAACAGGCATTGCCTCTCCAGTCAAGGAGCTCTGTTCCACTCTCAGGGTGGAAGTCTTCAAAGTTGCTATTCTC